TTTTGGTATTCGATTTTGTATGGTATTCTATATTTTGTCAGACGAATTGTTGAATTGTGATTTTTTATTCATCTGTTTATTTCTCAAATATTTCACAAACTTGCAGCAACATAATAAATCTAGATTATCGTAATCTTTATCGTATCTGCAACATAAGTTGCAAGAGCCTCTTGAGATTTTTTTTATTGGTAAATAAACTAAATGGCAATAAAAATTTGGCAGTTACTGAAAAAATTCGCCCCCAATCTCTCATTGGCAAGCCAATATAATTGACTATGTAAATCCCAATTTAAAACTGCCGTATTTGATGTAGCCATTCGATTCGATCATCGGCCGCGCCATATTTATTGATGAGTGTCACTGTGACTGGCAGCCCCGACGCTTCCGATCCGTAAAATTAATTTATTTAAGCAAATGTAATGTATGTAAACGTATTTTAAGTATTAACATTTTATTATGGACATTAAGTACACGTGAATAATTAAATGATTTATGGTGGTACCAATCTAAGATAATATGTATAAATTGGCATCTGCAAACCTTTTTAAATAGCTTTATATCTCCAAGAAGGCAATATTAGTCCTTAAATCTTCTTCTACATCTTCTTATAAGGAAGGATCCTGTATCTTCTAGGAACGTAACCTGTTGTCACAGCGTACCTAAGTACATGATGGAAGAAGAAAGTAGAAGAAGAAGGTTCTATTACATGATTTGTTTGTAATCCAATTTTAGAATCACAATTTTTCGATTCCTCAAATTCTTTTTGGCCTTTTTGTAACTAAACTTAGATACTTTCATTTTTCCTATCTATGTATATTTCCACATCTACAACCAAAAAATCTGACCTTACAAATACAACAAGAAATTTCCCTTTTTCCCGTTTAAAAGTAGCCAATTCCAGGCTCCTAAATTCCCGTACCAATTCGGCCGCACTCGCCGCACAACTAACAATAAAATAACCTTATTACTGTCTGCAGGCTTGATTGCGTCACGCCACTCGGTCTCCACAAAAAACGGTTCCGTATAATATATACGGGTCCCACAAATTGGTTCCCTTTGACTGTGGTTGTCAACATTTTTAGATAGTGCCCCCCGGAATTGTTCGTTGCAGGACTTTTACGCTTACAGCGAATAGAATAATACTTACTTTGTTAGTTGAAGACTACAAAGTTTTTATGGGATGTGGACTCATAGATAGATAGATAGCTAGGCCTTCTGACACCACACAAAAGTGACAAGTAAACAAAAAAAAAACGAAAACGACACAATTTGGGCGGTTTTATCGTTAGTATCAATGTGATCTCTTCCAAGAGGACAATTGTTTGTTTGAGATAAAGTAAGAAAGGAGGCGATTAACTAACTTTTTATAACTCGTTAGAATGATGGAACGCTTTTCCCAAAACACGCAAAATGTGTGACAATTTTATTCACCCTGATCTTGATTCTCAATTCTCTTGACTCAAACGGTTACAATTAACTCGAGTAAAATCTGTGGTCCGCATTCAATTCAAAAACGCTCCAAGGGTCCGCAGGGAAAATGTTGAGAACCACTGTCTTGAATTCTACAAATAATTATAGCGTTTCCCACCCCCGAGGTACAGAAATGCATTATACGGTTGCAAGGCATCAATGCGAATGCCTTATTTACAAGATAATGGCGCTCGAGAATTTCATTTTAAAAGACATAAAGATAAGTCGTGTGATTTAGTGGATTTTTCAAGTATTTGAAATTCCGTGATGCTTAGGTCTGGTTTATTTCATTTTATGGCTCTATTCGAAGTATAAATTCACATAAAGTCGAGAGAACATCTTTAGGTTAAGACATGAAGTGACTTGTTCTGAACTAGGTATATCTGTAAACGGCTCGGAATTGAGTGATTTCATGTAGAGTTTTAATGAATGATTAAATACTTTTAATACGGTATTTACCGTTTATTTAAATAAATATTCTTCAATAAGATAGTCAACCATAAACGATTTGCTTTCTAATGAGGGCTATAGTTTTAGCGCTCACCAGTTAGCTCCACTGTAGAGTAAGGTCCTGTAACTTGCTAGTAGCGAAGACAGTGGCACCAACTGGTGAGCGCGAAAGTGGTAGGAGGACTATCGCATTTGCACTCATCAAGATGGCGCCACTGTAGAAAGGTCCTGTCAATCGCCAGGGGTGCCAACTCTTAAGTATAAAAACGATAGCCCTCATTGATACTGATGACTGCCGTCTGGCATGTCTGGCAGTACCGCAAACAAAAGAAGTATTTTAGCAACATTATACCTACCTTTAGTCAAAAAATCATGAAAATGTAATTACATGGAATTGAGGTCCTCAACTTAAAAGGTACTTCGGACATAAAGATGCTAAAACAATAACCTAAAACAAGTCTACATGTATTTAACTGAATGATCAATTTGGCTTAATGACTCCATATAAATCACATTCCACCTCGACCAGGCATTCGGGTTCAGCGGTAGATCCCAAAAACATTATGTAAGTCACACCGACCAACCTGCCTTGTAATTGGCAAAGTTTACATCATAATTTCTTTATGAAATTTCGTGCCAAATACCTTAATTAAGGGCTGGGACTTTAGCAATTATAACGCGATGGCATAATCTCCATAAAAAGAAGATTATCTTTGTTATTTATCACTCACTTGCCTGCTAGTCATTTCAGGAATAATTTTATTATATTCTCTCTCTTATTTAAATTATCATTAGTCCTATAGATCTCTCCTTCTTTCAAGTGGACTTGACTCTGATGTTTGACCTTATAGACCACTAGTAAATAGGTACATTTATATTGTCTTTACATACATAATGTTGCCTCAAGCTTAGAAGATCAACTAATTACCTACACTGTACAACTTTCCCAAACAATCAACCCAGGTATTTAGGGTAGAGTCACGTCATTTATGAAACCATCTTCAGCAAGCAAGGTACAAATGATGGTCGTAGTAAGTTCGTTTAAGATATTAATATTGACTCCATAGAATTACTTATAACAAGAAATGCTTTATTGATTTAAGGTCGTAGAGTATCTTGTGCAACCCAGAGAAACTTGAAATGAGCCGAATTTTCTCGAAACTATGACAAATTATACAACTGCAATTTTCTGTGCAGTTGTGCATCTAAAATGCACGCAGCTGTCGGCAAAGTGTAAATTACCCCAACTTTGGGTTTCACTGTCTCTGGTCTCTCTAATTTTGAACCTTATTGACATATTTTGACATACATTTTCTGCAAACAGAGGGCGTAGTGTGAGTTTACATCAAACGCGCTCACTAATGAGTGCGTCAAAAAATGACATTAAATGTATGACGGATTGTACAGCGCCCCTAGCGGGAAACGTTCAAAAACTAAAATTTTCATACATGTAAACTCACACTCAGCCCAATTTAAAAAGATTTTACATGTCCCAATACATATAAGTTAACCCTATCATTGCTTCGGAATAATCAGATGGTTCAGTGCTGAGAAGAAGCTATTTTGTCAGCCCCTTTTTGAAGCTTTAATTTTTTTTTTACCGTTATATGTTATTTTTTTACCCTTTCTCATCTTCTATTTTAAGATAGTCCTTTTTTCATCATCATCATCATCATTTCAGCCATAGGACGTCCACTGCTGAACATAGGCCTCCCATGTTGATCGATTGGCAGCGGTCTGCGTCCAGCGCTTCCCTGCTACCTTTACGATGTCGTCGGTCCTTTTTTACTTGAACTTTAATAATTATATTGGAAATTAAAAAGTCATTAAGATTTTGTAGAGACCCGGAAAAAACATTTCAATCAAACTAAATCTAAAACCGAAAAAAATCAACTCACAAAATGACATTTGTTAAAACTTCCCTGTCAATTAAAATAATTAAGAGAGCTGCTTGATTACCACCATCGCCAGCAATAATCGACGCGGCATTTAAAGAATTTAATTGTCTTAATGAGTTTTGTTAGCGGAATAGTCGTATACGCAATTAAAATATAATTCTGAAATATCACTAACCATTAAGTATTATAATGGTTCTTTGTGACAATCGACTACGATAGTGTTTTTTTTAATATTAAAAAAAACTTTTGGGTACTTTTTTTAAGGAAAATCACAGATTTTCAAATTTTAAATACGAATACCTTAATAAAATTACTATGTATACAACTATCCTAAAAATGTCAAAGGAGACAAAAATGTACATAGGTAGGTCGTCGTTACAAAAAATGCTATTTCGATTTTCCAGCTTAATATTTTCACCCCATACATCTGCAAGATCATAGTTAAAACTCCGAATTTAAACTCTGCAGCGAAACCGCAACCGACATGCTAACTACGCTCAACCCAAACCCAAAACAAACCTAGCCCCCGTACTATTAAGGTTAAAATTAGACTAACACCGGTTTAAATGGCCAAACAAGTGCATAGTGGTCAGCCAGTCGTGAGCGCGGGCAAACTGGGCTTTATCAAAGTGCTGTTTTTGATACGGTTGGTGGTTCGGCTCGTGTCCCGGAACGGGGAATAATCGAGCACCGTGTTTAGAGTCAAAAATAACTGCAGTTTGTTGTAACTAGATTATGAAATTACTTATTTAATAAGTGGCTTTAATGGCAAGTAAATGTATAGCTCTAGTATATAGTCTACAGCACTGCAGACTAGTTTAGTTGCAAAATCGCACTATTTAAAATTCACAAGGCACCTTTAGATATGCCGTTATCTGTGGGTAGATGAATCAAGAGTCCACAGCTGTACAAAGGCCTCCCAATGCCTTCTTCATTAAAAGAGCTCCCACAAACACTGGTTACCAATAAAATAAGACGTACTTTATAAAACACTTCTAGAAAAAAAACTATTTTTCATGAATATACGGACACTATCAGTCACCTTCGCCAGATTGAAGTACAAAAGGCAAATCAAGCTAAACACTGTGACCTCTTATGTGCTTGTAATAGGGGTGATTTTGCAACAAAAATGTAAAGTCTGATAAGCTGTATTGTGGTATAATATTGTTCTTCTTGTTCCAGAAATGTGGTGTACAACCTCAGCCTGACAGATCTGACGGAGCAGCGCCGCCTGGTGTGGTACTCCCCAGAGAACGACGTCAAGATGTGCGTCGTCAAGGGAAAAGATGAGGTAAGCACATACTTCTCTCTTCTCTAAATCTTCATCATCATCAGATCATTTAGTCTCTATCGCAGGAGAACGGGCTTCTCTAATTTACCAAGAGGGAAGTTCTGATCTATACTCCTGGCCAGACAGGTTGAGGACACCTGATCTTCTATTTCTCTTACGGAATCTACAAGAAAAGTAGATGAGGTTTATTCTACTCTACTGGAATGGAACCACAGCTTGAAATCGTATTATTATCTTAAGATAACCTACTGTAAGTGTAGTCGAAGAACCGATAACGGCCATACAACATTAACACTAAACGTAGGTCTCTGAGACCAGAGATATCAGTTGCAAACGAGCTGCATCCAGGAACCTGCTACCTTTATTCGTCCATAAATCTCAAAAAGAAATAACACAGAGCACCGTATTCGTCTCACCGGTTGCAGCAATTTACCGCATAAAGTATGTAGATACTAAAAACCCGATCATACTAAACTCCCCAATAAAGGTGAGTAAAGAAAAGCAATATCTCTCATTCCCACCGAAGAAATACTGCAGTTTTACTGAATCAATAAAGCGAACTCAAAGCGAACGCCTCAAAAAATAAAATCGCTAGTCCACACACTGCGGCGCAAAATGCAATATAATTGTTACCAGCCCCGCCATCTTGGGTAATTGAATTTAGAACATAAGGCTGGTTTCTCATGGATAGGATTCTATGATAGAGCCTTTACACTTTTTCAAAAAATGCACGTTTTGCTGATAGAATATATTAAAAAATGTTTTAGTGGATCTAGGTACTACTTCAATACCATTTTCATCAATTCTGTTTTAGAGTATAAATTATTGTGCTTATGATCTCTCTGTCTACCAAATAATAATAATAATAAAATAATAACCACTTTTGACCCGTGAGCTCCAAAGCGTACAAATAATAAAATAATAATAATAAAATGTTTATTGCCATTAAATCAATGTACAGAGTATTCTTATGACTAGCGGCTTCTGCACTAAGCATAGCTTGTGTCGCAGGAGCCTTTTAGTTTTTACAAGAAGATCTTTACTTTGGGGTACTTTGGTTAAGTTCGTCATTCGGTATCAGAAAATTGAGTAGGTACCTATCGATGGGCGTCTGACATTGCCCATGCAGACTGAATGCTGTTCAATCGTACCTACGATCCATTGGCAATGTATACGACCAACTACACCCAATGTTGTTCAAAATCAGTTGCACCGTGAGCAGTACGCCTTACACCAGCCGTATTCCGCTCTCGTACCGTAAACGTACCGAATACGTGCAAATTAAAACATCGATTGAGCGCAATTCGCGGAAGTTGCGCTGTACCCACTACCCACACCAACGTAATCGTGGTTAATTCACAGCTCGGCCAGAACAGTTTATTAACCTGATAAGTGTCTAGCACTATGTGCACAATGGGAATTGCGTTAGATAGGGCAGAATTTCAGCGTGCAGAATTTGGACTATAGAATTTTGTCGCCGCTTTTGTATTTGCATATAGTTGTTTTGAGCATCCCAACTAATATTATAAATGCGAAAGTAACTCTGTCTGTCTGTCTGTTACGCTTTCCCGCTTAAACCTCGCAACCGATTTTGATGAAATTTGGCATAGAGATAGTTTGAGTCCCGGGAAAGAACATAGGATAGTTTTTATCCCGGTTTTTGAAACAGGGACGCGCGCGATAAAGTTTTTCTGTGACAGACAAAATTCCACGCGGGCGAAGCCGCGGGCGGAAAGCTAGTGTTGTTATATTTTCTTTAGTATCTTTGCACAATTATTTTATTATAGCAGAATATTACGGTACTAAATAACAGTTTAATTTTCTGCAAATAGAACAATTATCCAGTATAACTTTAACCCTGCCACTCATCAGAATAATAAACGAGCCAGTGCTGAGAAAATGCAACGCAAGAAACTCAGTCACCAAATTTCAGGCTCTTTTTCAAGGGTTTTCACTATTATAAGATCGAATTAAGTGTGTAATGTCACTAATAATATCAACCGCTTCATTTATCTTCTTGTACAGTCGCGGAATGAAAAGGTTCGTCACCTTAGTGTCGGTTTTCGCTTGCACTAGGTACTGTACGAGTCAAACCTGCCAACATAACCGTGCAAGAAACATTGCTGCTAACATTTAAATAAATATGACGTTTGCTCACGAATAAGGTTTTGCTTGTTTATTTTTCTATCCCATCAGTGCAATGTTACAAAATGTAGTTTTTTTTATTCAATAGATAATGGCAGGTTGAACCAACAAGAAGGATTTAGTTTATCAATCATAATAATCTTCTTGACAAGTTAAATCGTCAAACAACTTTGATCTGAATAATTTTGATCTTTACTGACGAACAGTTAAAGATCATTTTCTCTAACTCTAGATTATTCTGTAACATAGTTTCAAAAGGTAATATGTGCTCGCGGTTCGTTGAAGGAATCAATTTGAAAACTGACGAACCTTTTCATTCCGTGACTGTACTTTTGTCTTTAACGTGAGAAACATATTCAGAAGCTTCCTGTTATCTTTGCGCTACGGTAATAACATCTAATGAGATGAAACGGACGAATATGAAGTAACCTGAACGTGGGTGGAACCTCAAGAGACCTGCAGTTCCTTGAACGCCAACTCGCAGTTCTGGAAAATGAAATTTCTCGACAAGTTATATTGTACAAGACAGTATTTTGAGACTATGTTGTGCCAACTTAACTATGTTTCTCTGTCGTACTGTATTGAAAAGGTTATAGGTGTGGTTGCAGATTTCAAAGTTGAGATTATGATCATGTAAGATGATCTGCCATTAAAGCTCAATTAGCTATGAAGTCAAGAAAATGTAACTCCTTTTGCTAATGATAGGTGCACATAAGTAGCATAGATCATCATCATCATTTCAGCCACAGGACGTCCACTGCTGAACATAGGCCTCCCCCAATGACTTCCACATCGCACGGTTGGTAGCGGCCAGCGCCTTCCTGCTACCTTCGCTCGTAGCATAGATGATATCAGATATCTTTAGTGTTATCTTTAGTAAGTACACAGTTAAATATATAAGGTACCAAATGTTCTAATTCTAGGCTTAGGTTGTAGTGTTTAAGCGTTGAATGAGTATTGAATCTACTATAACTACCTACTCCAGTATTGTAGTGCAACTTAAAAAGTCGTATAGTTACTACTAAACTATTAAAGAGCGTGTTCGTTTTCTACACGATCATATTTCTCACAGACGAACAATTAAACACCTTGTTAAGTAAGTTGCAGTTTACGATAGAGTTCAATTTAGTTTCAAAGTTGTTTGAACTGGACACACTGTAGGAATAAAAGAGTAAGACAAATTTAAATCTAAGTAAATTAACGTTATTGAAGTTAAATAACTACCAAAACAATTGCCTCATTTTATGTGTTCCAGATTCGGTATTCTGAAAAATTTTTGAGCAAAAAATTATCGATTTTTTTACTTAAAAGCGCCTAAACACAAAAGCCATATTCCATTATACAAACCCTTTGCGTTCCAAAACCAATACCAACCGCTTACAAAGTTCTAAAAATATTCGAGAGAAGAATCGGAACGTCGAACTCGCCAAAAACAAATGCATTCGCACTCCATCGGGCAGCACAGAATGGCACGCTCCCTTTGCGTCCCGGGTTCGCCATAGGGATGTGGAAAAGCAATCAATCAATTAATCGTAATAGAAAAATCGATTATTTTCACAAATCGATTGGCATAATCGAACATTAAGTTAAAACTCCGGAACGTGACGTGAATCAATAAATTCATCAACATCATCATTTCAGCCACAGGACGTCCACTGCTGAACATAGCCTCCCCCAATAATGACTGGTTGGTAGCGGCTTGCATCCAGTGCCTTTCTATCTTTATGAGGTCGTTGATCCACTTAGTGGGTGGACGCCATCAGTAAATAGATTTTTTCTCAATCATCATTGTAGGAAAATAAGTTGTTCCCAAATCGATTTCCATCCAAAACAGAAAGATCGATTCGTTTCCCTCAACGTCACATCCCTATCGCCTCTGATTGCTCCGCGCTGGTGGGACGCTCGGAAATTCATGCTTCAATTGCAGACAGCTTGGACCGTGCATGCCATTTTACCTCTAAGCAGCTGTAGACGTGCCGCGACTGCGCCCCTCTAAACAGATTTGTCTGGCTCAAACTGGTTCCGGTATGTTCTTTGTTGGCCATACAATGCCTAGATCTGCCTACGTGCGGATTAAATTAAAACGCGTCGGCTGACTTACCTATCCTGTTTAGCTTTGTGCGTCTTGGTATATGGTGTTATTAGTTAGGGTGCAATTTAAAATTTAAAGTTTCGATTAAGAAACGGACCTTTTGTCTGTTCAAAATGAAATGTGCAAGAAGAAAAATTAACACACGGAAGAAGTACCTACTTATTTAATGTATGTGGACTCTATTTTTGAAAAAATATGACGCAAATAACTAAGTACCTTCTTGGGAAAGTTCCGATTTTGTTGAGTATCCGAAATACACAACTTTGCACTTGCAAACGTGATGTAGCTGCACAAAGCACGGGGTCCGGAATGTGTTCCAAATTCGGATTTTGTCCGAAATATCCGAGTACCGAGTCCACTCGGAATTCATCGTGCGAAGTCCGACGTGCATACAAAAGTTTCGATGTATTTGGTCAAGTGGCGGTATTGGAACGCATTGAACACGTTCAAGAAAACAGATTTAGAGCCAGTTCTGCTGGTTCCTGAGAATGTTTCGGATATTTATCTAAAATATAATGCTATCAAACGTAATAAAGTCTCTGATTAGGTACAGTTACTTTAAGTAGGTAACCAGATATCATACCAGATAACCTGTGTAACCAAAAGTGAAAGTTTATCTGGGCAGTTCCTAGTACACTTTCTGGGACATTATCAGTGCTGAAACGGGCCTTTAATAACAAGAATATAATTATTTTTATAATTAATAATCGGTACTATATTAGGCAGTTCGTGGGAGACTACTAATTGCCTAAATTAGAGAGGGAATTGTCTTTATCTTAAAAGAAAAGGCTCACGACCAAATCTTTAATTGACTAGTATACAAATTAGTTATAATTTTATTTTTTTTGTAAAGCATATTTAAATATAATTATCCCTGTAATGGAGTTATCTCTATGTATAATATCACAAACATCTTTAATAGATTTCGGAACTAAGAAACCCCTTTTAAAATCAAAAGCCTGGCTCAAAACTAAACGGCCAGACTATCTCCGCTGGTAATAAATACTACCGTCCTGATACCCGTTTACCTACGAGGCAACCGGTTAAACCGGTATTTTATGCAAAGGAAATGCTTCTCTGTATATCCTCGGTACGATAAGAGTCCGAAACGGGGCCGGAACGTATTGAGCAGTAACGACCCGGATTGCGGTACGGCGTAATGGTCTGTGGACATCGATTTACTATTAAACACCTAGTCTAGATTGTGGTGTCTAGTATCGTCGGGTGAAATAATTAAGCGTGTTATTAATACAGTGGGTAGTAAATTAATAGAGCAGGCTTAACTGAAAGCATAAGAGCGTCAGTTTTTTACTTCGGTTCTCTGAGAGAAAATTAAGTTTGCGCGCGTCTATTGTAAATAGTTAAGGATGCTCTGTCTTTCTCAGTCTCTCTCTTTCTCTCTTACTCTGTCTTTTTCTGCAACTTATACCTATAGCTTGACGGAATGGTCTTGATCAAGGTTGTCCAATAAGTCTTCATCACCAGGCTACCGCAGTCTACTGCTAGAGATAGTCACTAAGGCATATCTCTCGATCCTCGACTATTCTCTTTCATTTCAGTCAGAAAAATCGCAGCACATAAATACACCTAAATTATACTCGTAGTAGCTAAATAGTATCTATCACAACTACATAAAGTGCTTTTTATCTGTATAACTTATCTAAAGCTAGGGCTGACCACACAAATTGAGGCCGTGTAATCTCACTGTTTGGAACTAAGATAGCGTAATAAATTAAATACAATGTACCATTGTATACTCATCAAGTAACTGATATCCTTAGACACAAGCCAATAACTTCTTAAGCTAGACTAAGCTAATTGAATAGCTATTGTTCCAACACATGTTGACGTGGCGCTGCGAACCGCCCCTAATCGGTATAATCGTAATGTAGACAAAGGCAGTGAGTTCGCTTCGTTCAGTGTGCTTACCATGAGTTTTCGTTAGACGAGCTCGTTAGAGAGTACGTCAAAAAATTCTATGAAGATTTTATTTCTTGAAAGTAGCCACTAGAGGGCGCTGCACAATATGTCATACATTTAATATATTTTTTACGCAGTCGCTAGCGAGCACACCTAACGTAAACTCATGGTAAGCACACAGAGCATCTTACATTTTATGTAGCATTTAAAATACTATAAGTTTAGTTTTAGTCATAACTCCCATACTCACACGATATCTAAACATCTCACTCTGATTTTAAATGAGTCACAAACGTATTCACAAACAATGCTTGCTTAAATCAAGCAGTAAATCGGACGCACAGCGTTGAATATAGCTCTGTGATTGGTTCGTGTGTCAGCCTGTACGCGCACTGTGAGACCTCATAGTAATGTTTGTGAAGTGCGTCAGTAACTTGAAAAACAAGAAAATGCCCTCAGTGACCTTTTTCGTGAGCCTTCTTCCTTTACCTACTCTGTGCCGCTATTATCTCAATTTAATATACCGTGGACGTCTGCATTGTGGCGGATTAACGTCTTTAAGGTGTCAGCCTTGATGGACTCGGATCCCGTTTCAGTGCTGCCAACATGCAGCCAGATGTGAACCTTCCCAGCTGGCGTTAGATCCTCTTTTGTTTATCAGAGGCTTAGATGAACACGTTTAAAAGCTGATTTATATGTATTAGAAAGCTTCGTAGAAAGAATTCGAGATAAAGTAATTAAGGCACAAGAATATTACATAAATCAGTTTTCTTAATACCATTAGGTATCCCTAGGGCTCGAATGAACTCATTAAATAATAATTGTGTCTGGAGCTCTGAAGAAGAAAATAATTTTTATGATAAATACTTATTTCTGGCCGATCAATATCGGTAGATATTACCAATTATATTGGTATCTTGTCCATTTTGTTTTTTGTATTAGTTTTTATTTCATTAAGCTTGTCTCCTGTAAATTGTTGGCAAGTCAGTCATTTTGCTTTTTCATATCTCTATGCCCTGTCAACTATTGTTTTCCAATCTATTCTTCCAAGAACAAAGTCTTAGATCACATACACGTAATAATTCCAAATCCCAATGGAATCCACTGCGGCGATTACTATTGGGGTATGGTTTCCAGGTTCCAGGAAATGTTAATACCGTCTTATGATCTATGGAAGTTCTACGAACGCTACGCACAGGCTTGCAACGTACATGCTCGCCTAATGGATTTTACGGGGAATTAAGACCTAGGAGTTTAGGTAGATGATTGTGGATAAAGGCTTGCAAGTAAATGCACTCCTACGACTTATACGACTATTTCGTCAACTAAATAAACTGCTCCGGTTATGTCGACTTACTTCTTATTCATCATCATCATCATCATCTCAGCCATAGGACGTCCACTGCAGAACATAGGCCTCCCCCAATGCTTTCCATGCTGCCCGGTTGGTAGCGGCCTGAGTCCAGTGCCTTCCTGCTACCTTTATGATGTCGTCAGTCCACCTTGTGGGTGGACGTCACACGCTGCGTTACCATATCTACTTCGATATTAATCAATGCTACTGGCATTGCCTAGAGCCGCTCTCGCTCCACTAGTCCCAGCCTAATATGTTAATGCAATCTTATGATCCGTGTAGTGGGCCGCCCAACCGGCGTATCACCTTGAGACATGGGACTTGGGACATGCAACCTTAATGGATTACGTGTTCAATTTATTGGTTTACCAATTCATATGGTTTATCTATACCGAATTTAGCAGTATTGTTCGAGCGGTTAATGACATTTAGGACTGAATTTTGTACACTCCGTTCACTGCTATTGTTTATTTCAATCAAAACATTTGAATTGAATTTTACATTTGAATAAAGCTTTTTTTGCTTTTTATTAGTTACTAGCTGTGCCGTAATATTTCCCGTTTGCTTAGGGGTTTTTGCAACATTTATCTTTACTGCTCCATCCCTTTTGGCTGTATGGTGATGTTATGTTATAGCCAAACCTTCCCCGATAAACACAAAAAAAAACAAATCGGACTAGTAGTTCCTGAGATTATTAGCGCGTTCAAGAAAACAAACAAAAAACTCTTCAGCTTTATAATATTAGTAAGTATAGATTTGGATTTTTACCAGAATCGGTGACACAATTTCGGATCAAGGCGTTATTCAAGATCTAAATACCGTCGTGAGAATTTCTGAAAAATCAAACTAGGTGAAAAATACCTGGCTCACATTGAGTAAAATAAAACAGTAAAAGTTATGGTCGGAAAACATTTCTGGCTCAACCTTTTGGCAGCGTTCAAGAAATTTCACAGCTGAATTATCCCGTTCTTTATATCTGAAATGTTGCTCGTCCGTGTGTAGTATCATGATTGGAGTGGGTACAGCAGCATCGCTACCTGCATACAAACTTACATGTAATTCTTCAGGTAGTATTTTAAAAATATTATATATTAAATCAAAAATACAATTAAAAAAATTAACGAGTATGATACACGCTCATTTAGGGACGCGGTGCTTACTTTGTATGTTTTAAATAAACAACATGAAAAAATCGAACTGCCTAAGGCGGGAATCGGACCCACGACCTTTCGCTTGCCAGGCGACTGCTCTCCTTACTTTGTATGTTTATTTCAACTACCTGTTAGACAAATACTGGCAAATAAAAGCTCGACATGGGACTTCCACCCAAAAGGTGGACAGGTGACCATATAAAGATAGCAGAAATGAGCAGGACGCAGGTCACTACCAACTTTCCAATCTGGAAATCATTGGGCTATGGTCTGCAGTGAACGCTCTGTGACTGTTACTGAAATGATGATGATGATAGATAAAATATAAGGAAGTAAAACTGCACAGAAGAAACATGAATCCTTAACCTTAATTGCTGTGGCAACGCATTGCACTTCAATTTCTGTTCTGAAGATAAATTACAGAAACCTTCTGTATTTAATTTGATTATGGCGGTAATTTGAACATGTTCAAAGTTGATTTCACGCAAAAAACGAATAGTCCAGCAGTTAAAGGCTAACTGACTTATTCCACCCGCTTTGTGGATTAATTCCGATGGCGGCCATTGTCAGAACCAGAATTGAAATAGAATTGACTAACAAATCATTAACAAAATTTATTTTAGAATATAATCAACAATTCATTAATTGACTGCAGTCTACTAAAGGTCAATTTAAAATACAAACATGAACTTACAGCATTATAAAGCTAAAGACTGCATTTACGATATCTAATGGCTGCACCGTTCAGTACAACGCACTACGTAGTTAACCTATTCAACAGAAAATATGAATACCATCACTTAACTCACTATCACGTATCACCCGTATTCACAAACGATGCTTGCTTAATTGAAGCAACAAATCGAACGCACACCGTTGAATAAAGCTCTGTGATTGGCTCGTCGTGTATCACCCTGTGCGTCCACGCGCACTGTGAGACTTCATAGTAATGATTGTGAATACGGGCCTATATTACTGTGTACATCGAGAGTGTTTTGTCTCATTTTTAAATCCACTGTCTCCTTCCAGGAAAGCTGCCAGAACTACATCCGCGTGATGGTGTCCCTCGGAACGGGACGGCTGCTGGTCTGCGGGACAAACAGCTTCAAGCCGTTCTGCAGGGAGTACAGCGTGCAGCGGGATTCCTACCACATGGAGCGGGAGAAGTCTGGCCAGGCCGTCTGCCCGTATGACCCTGAGCACAACTCCACGGCTGTATATGCTGGTAAGTTTACTTCTCATCATCATCAGCAGCATTAGGTAGTCCATTGCAGGAGGACAGATTTTGCTGACACTCCCCAAAGTGAAGACTCATCAACTCGGAAAGAGATCAACACCGTATAGCCTTTTGCGAGCTATCATCGCCTTTCATACAAAGAATACTGGCCGCCTCGAGTTGATAAGGTTACGACAGTTACGATCCCTTTCCGGGTTGAACTGTGCGACGTCCTTNGATTCATATGGTTTATCTATACCGAATTTGGCAGTATTGTTCGAGCGGTTAATGACATTTTGGAACAAATTTTGTACGCTTTGTTCACTGCTATTGTTTATTCCAATCAAAACATTTGAATTGAATGTTACATTTGAATAAAGCTTTTTTGCTTTATTAGTTACCGCCCGCGACTTCGTACGCGTGAAAATAGTTTGAATAATATTTCCTGTTTTTGCAACATTTATCTTTACTGCTCCATCCCTATTGGCTGTATGGTGATGTTATAGCCAAACCTTCCCCGATAAGCACAAAAAAAAAATCAAATCGGACTAGTAGTTCCTGAGATTATTAGCGCGTTCAAGAAAACAAAGTAAAAAGCTCTTCATCTTTATAATACTAGGTAAGTATAGATTTGGAATTTTACCAGAATCGGTGACACAATTTCGGATCGGGGTGGGGGTGATTCAAGATCTAAATACCGTCCTGAAAATTTACGTAAAATCAAACTAGGAGAAAAATACCTGGTTCACATTGAGTAAAATAAAACAGTAAAAGTTATGGTCGGAAAACATTTCTGGCTCTACCTTTTGGCAGCGTTCAAGAAATTTCACAGCTGAATTATCCCGTTCTTTATATCTGAAATGTTGCTCATCCGTGTGTAGTATCATGATTGGAGTGGGTACAGCAGCATCGCTACCTGCATACAAACTGACATGTAATTCTTCAGGTAGGACTTCAATAATTATTAATAAATCAATAATACCTGCAATAAAAGAGTGTACTATGATGCACGCTCATTTAGAGAAGCGATACTTTGCCTTGTTTCTTTCAAGTTTACGTTTACGTTTTCAAGCGCAACGTGGAACGAACGTTCACTCAGTAGGTGGACAGATTACATAATAAAGTTTGCAAAAAGGCGCTGAATACAGAATACTACTAACCGAATCTAGAAATCATTGCAGGAGGTCTATGTTCAGTGGACGCTCTGTGACTGAAATGATGGTGATGATGATAGACAAATAAAGAAGTAAAAGTGTACAGGAGACTGGAATCTTAGGGCTGGGTAAGTAACTAGGGTAAAAAATTCGAATATTGCCCTGGTAACGCATAGCATTTTAATTTCTGATTATAAGGTAACCTACTGTAGCTATTTGTATTGGGGCGGTAATTTGAACATGTTCAAAGTTGATTTGACGCAAAAAACGAATGGTCCAGCGGTTAAAGGCTAACTGACTTATTCCACCCGCTTTGTGGATTAATTTCGATAACGGCCATTGTCAGAACCAGAATTGGAATAGAATTGACTAACAAATCATTAACAAAATTTATTTTAGAAAGAAAGAAAGAAAGAAAAATTGTTTATTCAGTTATTTTAGAATATAATCAACAATTCATTAATTGACTGCAGTCTACTAAAGGTCAATTTAAAATACAAACATGAACTTACAGCATTATAAAGCTAAAGGCTGCATTTACGATATCTAATGGCTGCACCTTTCAGTACAACGCACTACGTAGCTAACCTATTCAACAGAAAATATGAATACCATCGCTTCACTCACTAACACCCGTATTCACAAACGATGCTTGCTTAATTGAAGCAACAAATCGAACGCACACCGTTGAATAGAGCTCTGTGATTGGCTCATCCTGTGTCACCCTGTGCGTCCACGCGCACTGTGAGACTTCATAGTAATGATTGATTGTGAATACTGTGTACATCGAGAGTGTTTTGTCTCATTTCTAAATCCACTGTCTCCTTCTAGGAAAGCTGCCAGAACTACATCCGCGTGATGGTGTCCCTCGGAACGGGACGGCTGCTGGTCTGCGGGACAAACAGCTTCAAGCCGTTCTGCAGGGAGTACAGCGTGCAGCGAGACTCGTACCACATGGAGCGGGAGAAGTCTGGCCAGGCCGTCTGCCCGTATGACCCTGAGCACAACTCCACGGCTGTATATGCTGGTAAGTTTACTTCTCATCATCATCAGCAGCATTAGGTAGTCCATTGCAGGAGGACAGATTTTGCTGACACTCCCCAAAGTGAAGACTCATCAACTCGGAAAGAGATCAACACCGTATAGCCTTTTGCGAGCTATCATCGCCTTTCATACAAAGAATACTGGCCGCCTCGAGTTGATAAGGTTACGACAGTTACGATCCCTTTCCGGGTGGAACTGTGCGACGCACATAGGTAGATATTAATGATTTAGGCGGCCAAAAATATTTTTTGCTTGAAATTAGTTATAAGTACAAAATTAAATTAAAATAAACCATTTTTGACTGATTTCTTTTATTATTAATGATAATAAATCATTTTTTCACTTAAATATAGAAATTTAAAAAAAAAATTATTAAAAAGTTTCATTGTTATCATCGATACCCCATCGTGTGTGGTATCGTTGGATAGGTCATTTAAAATGACTTAGGGGTTTCTAAGACTATTTTTTGATTTAGTGATCCGTTTGCAAAATATTAAAGGTTAAAATGATAATTTTTTTTTCGAAAATGGCGTCCCCCCCTCTAAAAATTAAAGTGTTGGTTTGAAAAATCTGGAAAAATTCATAATAATAGTGCTTTTCATGAACTTTTAAGGAAAACTATGACGGTTAAGATAGATCAGTTAGTTCAAGAGTAATAGTTGTTTAACTCGTGTAAAATTTCATACTTAATAAAATATCCTTAGAAGAAAATATTAAAAGTGACTTTAGATGAAGTAATTGCTTGCTTATGAAATATATTATGGTAACGACTGACAACTACGGAACCCTACACTGCGCTTGGAACGACACGCACTTGGCAAATTTTTGTATTTTTATAAAATAACAATAAGTAGGTAGGTATATCAATCTCACTTTGAGAGCATACCTCTTTGGGTCACTACTTGCTACTTGGCTTGGCAGAACGTCCTTTATTCGTACACAAAATATATAAGTAATTAAAAAGCTTTATCTATTTTTCATAAGAGTACCATGCACTGTTCCCGTTAATACCTTTGTAAGCTAAATAAATGCTAGTCTAATGCCCGTTTTCACCATCAATTCCTAATTTTTGAGTGACTCCTATGGTAACAAATAACAAGAATTTTGTTTAAATAGGGGTCACTTAAAAATTAGGGATTGATGGTGAAAACGGGCATTACATCCCTAAAATAGGCAATTTGATACCATGGTCACACTGAACATTTTTAAACATAGAACATTTAAAGGGCATCATTTCGAAAATAACATTAGAAAGAGCTAAAAAGTCGCAGTCAGTGCTAGCTAGCTAGTCAATAATTAAAACCATGGATATTTAAACGCTAAGTACTTATAAGTAATAATAACTACAGTTCGCAATACAGAGAACAGAGGTTGCGCAAAATGTGGATATTCTAACATTGTTCCTGGAATCATTAAATACAAGAGCTCTGTATTTAATAATTCCAGGAACATGTTTATTCTCGGACTTGGTTAATATTCCCAATAAACTATAGCTAGAATCATTTATTTATTGAATAAGCTGTTATAACAATCATTTCGTATTCTAAACAACTAGAGTTCTCGTAAATAACATGTAAAATGAAAATTTTATCAGAAAATAATTATACTCGTACGTTATTAGAACGTCTGGAGGACGACCGACCGGGCTGGTGTCAGAGACGGCCGACAAGAGTCATTATGAATAAAATATAAACCTCTAATGGTCGTATAAGCCAGCATGTCTTTGTGATATGGATATTTTTGTATTCAGCGGGGGAAAATGAAAATATAATACCTGATATTTTTTACACAATGACTTATTAACGAACACTTATCATAGAACTTATCACAATCGGATTATATGCCAGATATAGAAAACTTGTTCAAAAACCTTTTTCGGGACACATATGCGTCGGCACTCTATTGCTCGCCCTTTTGTTGGGAAATTAGGGAAAGGAAAATCTTTTTGATATCGATTGAACCCACTTTCACAGTCTAGTGGCACACAATGAGAGTCATTGTAGCCTGCAAAAGAGCGGCTGAGCGTCGTTTTATACAGCCATTATGTATACACGCACATTATAATACGTATGAATGTAAATGTACGTTTCACAATGCCCGTGCAACTTTTACGGTGCTGAAAATGGAGCGGGTTTTTTTGTGACGCTATAGTTTGTTGATTGTTGATTTGTAACTTATTTACTATCATGCCAACATTTTTGCAATCTGATAGAGGGATCTAGTTAGTTAAATAAAAGCCAAACTACCTACTATATAGTCCAGTCAAATTAGACATGAACCCTGCAATAATTCGCATACAGCTGAAAATTGGTACGAATATTCGGAGCACCATTATGAATTAACTGTGAAAAGTCCCCATCGATCCGACATGTGCTAAAAAAAAAATTCTATGTCAAAGTTAAAAAATACGGGTTTTCGAGATTTTCAGCCAAATGGTAAGTTTTATCACAAAAATATGTNGCACACAATGAGAGTCATTGTAGCCTGCAAAAGAGCGACTGAGCGTCGTTTTATACAGCCATTATGTATACACGCACATTATAATACGTATGAATGTAAATGTAGGTACGTTTCACAATGCCCGTGCAACTTTTACGGTGCTGAAAATGGAACGGGTTTTTTTGTGACGCGATAGTTTGTTGATTGTTGATTTGAAACTTATTTACTATAATGCCAACATTTTTTGGAATCTGATAGACTGATCTAGTTAGATAAATGCCAAATTGTGTCTACTATTCGCTGGGTGCGAAGTACTAGGTGGGGGGGACATAATCTATCGCAGCGCTCATGGTGGTCAAAAGTAGAAATAAT